CCGCCCCTCGCCGTATGGTGGGGGCAGCTAGGTGCCGACGCTGTCCCTCCGCTTTCAGTGCTGCAGGTGCAAAGCCTTTTTAAAGGGAAAAACCTTATATTGCTGGCTGAGGATTCGCTCACGTGGCCAAGGCGGCCAACAGCATCCTGGCCTGTATCAAGAATAGAGTGTCGTGCAGGAGTAGGGAAGGGATTGTGGCCCTGGACTCAGCACTGGGGAGGCCACAGCCTGAGTAGTGGGTTCAGTTTTGGGTGCCACAGTCGAAGAATACTGAGATGCTGGATCGTATCCAGAGAAGGGCAACAAAGTTGGTGAATGATCAGGGGAACAGGTCTTATGAGGAATGGTTGAGGGACCTGGGATTGTTTAGCCTGGAGAAGAGGAGGCTCAAGGAAGACCTTATTGCTCTGTACAGCTCCCTGAAAGGAGGTTGGAGTGAGGTGGGGGTTGGCCTCTCAAGTAACTAGCTATAGGACAAGAGCAAATGGGCTTAAGTTGCACCAGGGGAGGTTTTGATTGGACATTAGGAAGAATTTCTCTCCTGCAAGAGTGGTGAGGCGTTGGACCAGGCTGCCCAGGGAGGTGGTGGAGTCACCATCCCTGGAGGGGTTCAAAAGATTCATAGACATGGCACTTTGGGACATGGTTTAGTGGTCATGGTAGTGGGTTGATGGTTGGACTTGATGATCTTAAAGATCTTTTCCAACCTTAATGATTCTATGATACGGTTTATTTTACCTTGAGCCTTCTTTGTGCTTGTTTCTAGCAGTGAAGCTAATATGACTGTTTAGTTGAGCCAGGCTTGTACAGTGGTAAATGCCTCCACCGTTATGGAGGTAAACAGCTAGAAACGTGGGATGGGTAATGGTGATCCTGAAGAGGTCCTGCACAGTTCGGCTTTTTTGGTGAATTTAGTAGTTACTTCCTATGTAGGAACCTGTGTATTGTTAGCCTGGGCTGTCAACGTTTTCTTTATTTTCTGGTATTTCTTCTTTATTTGCATAGAAAGAGGCTTCATTCTCTTGACATGCACAACATCATCTATCAGTGATGGCATATCGGAATTAGCAAGTAGAATGACTGGATGCATACAAACTTTCCTCTTCCAAAAGGGAAAACTTTGTCTAGTGGGTTCTTTATTTATTTATTCTTAGAACTGTCTCCCCAGCTTCTGATAATGGGGTAGGATCTTGTAGTGACTACTGGCTAGCAGTCATCATCTTATTTTCTTGAGAGAAGTGAAATATCTTTCCACATAGTGGAAATATCATAGTATGGAATAGGTTTCACACTAGTGAGAGTGCCATTAAGAAGAATCAGAAATGGATGTATGGGGCAATATTTTTCTCAGCCATGTTTTTCTTTAAGAATTATAGTTTTAGTCAAGTCAGAAGTAATTTTTCTTCCTGATCAACTTTTAAGCTCCAAGAAGCTGCGTGTTACTTGTCATTGCTTAGTGTAGGACACAATACTTTTGAGCCATTCCCTTAGAGTCTGGGTTTCTCAAGGAAAGTCACTATGGTGCAGAAGACACAAATTACTTCTTGGGAGTGAGTGAATATGTTTGCAGTCGGATATCTGTACAGAACAGGGTTCACTGTATGAAATAATTTTCTTTTGAAGTTGCTTGGTTGTATGTTGGAGACTTGTAAATGAAAAAGTTTGTATAGGACTCCTGTGAACATTAGACTGATGCCAGAAGGTACCATGAAAATTATCAGGGGTGTGTGTAGAGCTTGAAAGAACAGTACATTCCAAATGTAAATTCTAAACTCTTTTATTTTTAAAGATTTCCTATCTTTATTTCTCTTGATGTCAGTAATGTTTTCAGTTATCTGAGCACACACCCTTTAAAAAGTGTGTGGCTTTTTGAAGTGGGATGTATGGAATGAGGTTTGCAAACCTCCCTCACAGGAGGCACAGGGGTGCAGAACAAGGTGGTAATTTTTGACAGGGTAAAAAGTAATATTTATTTTTTCTTAGTGTTTAATGTTTGATCTTATTATTAAGCTTTAATATTTGAGGGACAAATAAGTTGATCTTTCAATTAATAAGGTTGTTCATTACTGTTGAATTCCAGGTTTAATATTTCCACCTGCCTGAGTTAATTTATTATTCTGGAATTTATCATTGGTATCTACCTCAGCCTGAATTACATAACACTGGTTTAGCTTCATGTCCTTCAACCATATCTTAAAAGTAAATTCAGTTCCTTTTAAGACAAGGTTGGAGAAGGGGAAGGTCTTTCTGCCTTTAAAAAGAATTAAATTGTCATGTTACCTTTTCTTTGGTCTGTCTTCATGTTAATGTACAAAAATGCTGGTTTTTGAAGTTTGGCAGAGAATTTCATTTTAATATCCTAATGAAATTATATCTAATTTTTGAAGTGGTTGTTATAAATCATTACAATCAGTTTACATGTCCTTAGTAAAAACTTTGTGAAAAATTGTGGCCCCTTTTTGAAAAGAGCTTAAACTCCAAAGATTCTGTTTTTCACAACTTTGTCCTAGCATCTGGCAGCTTTATCCTGGTCAGGCTCTGAGTTTACAGAAGATGCCTGAGGTGTTGCAAGTCAAAAGAAGGAAGAGTTGGCTGGAGTCTAGGAAGTACAACAGCAAAGAGGAAGTGAAGTCCTAGATCAGGTTATGACATCTGGTGAAAGCTGTTACTGGACTTGATGGAGGGCTGGTGTTTAGGCTATTTATGGAAGAGCAGGAAGAAGCTTAAACTGTGCAAGATATTGGGGAAAGAGCAGTAGTAGACATGGATCTCCTAAAGAACTGTCTTTTGTTTGAGAAAACTGGACAAGGAGACAGAGATGGGTCTTGAAATCATGAGCCCAGAGGTGGTGAAGAGGAACTGGAACTAGTTTGATGAAGGGCAGAAAGGCAGAAACCCCCAGGGAATTAAAGGCGGGTAAAGAGAGAATGGAGAAGACTGATGAAAATATGGAAATATTTCATGGAGTCACAAGAAACAAGGCTATGAATTTGAGGGGGTTTATCTGTCTGGATAAAACAGAGTTGTAGGAGTGGGAATTCACAAAGAGTAAGAAAGTAGCGAGATTGGGACAAGAAACACTAAGTGGAAGGCAGTTTGCTGAATGAGCATGTGCCTACAAGCATAGATTAGAATTCATAATTTTTTTAACTGGCAAGTGTCAATGAAACCAGATGATGAAACTTACTCTTTTCACTCCTTCAAATATTCTACAGCAAAGGAGATAGCCGGATGTTTCTGTTCTGAAGCCACAGGGAATATTAGCAGTAAAATCTACACGAAGGAATTTTGCCAAGTTTTTAGTTTCTTCTTTGACTTGGAGGGCTACACAGATGTAAAATTTAACAGCAGCAGCAGCTTCAGGAAATGCCAGAATGAAAGTTGGTTGAAAATCCTCGCTTAGCCACATCCCCCAATGTGTTATGAAAGGCTGCGATTGCCTATTAAGTTATTTTTTGCCAAAGAATCTAGCTTTTTGCTGCAGGTTAGTTAATGTGTAATGAATGAGTATCTACTTAAATATTTGGTTTTACCTTATTTTGTAGTGTTTCACATCTTATTCATAGCAAACAAGTTAAGATGCTTTGAAACAAAAAAACTTGCTGGTTTGCTTGTTCCCCACAGCACATGCCCCTTGTAGGTTCATATGTTTAACATTTAAATGGTGATAGTCCATAAGTTAGTATGCATTTTACCTTAGACTTTTAAGATGCTCTCACTTCATATGTTGAGACCTGAGTCACAGAAGTTCAGGTTAAAAGCGTCTTCTGCTACGAATACCTGTTTTGAGAAGGCAATGACATGATACAAGGCACTTTAAAGATTTATAGAGGACTTTGTGTTTAAAAACATAGCCTTCTTTAAGTTGTGGTTGTGATTTCCCAGCACCCTGATAGAGTGTTCCTAGCAGCTACCAAGGGTGGTAATCACTTAAACCATGTTTAGCTAATCTCAAGTAAAACCTTGTGGTGCAGACAGGGGGACAGAATGTAGTTTCTCAGGGTACTATGTGATTGCTCTGATTCTCTCCTTTGCTTTCCTACAGGCCCTGCCAAAGGCGTTACATTTAGCCTTGTGCTAGACAGACAGAAAAGAGAAAATACTCAACCCCAGCAGGAGCCTAAATTCTGGTGTCTTTTAACTTCTGAGCGGTTAACTTATAAATTGAAGAAAATACATAATGTAGCTGTGTGTATTGAATAGATTTGGGATGTTTTATTTTAACATTTAAAAGTCCTCACCTCTGTAATTTTGTGAAACGACAAGAAAAGAGGGTTAGAGGACACTTAAATACCATCTAATTTAGTTTTTTCCCCTCTAGATGAGATCAACTGCATTGTGTCATTTTTGTCAGATATATGCTTTCTCTAGTTTTGATGGTCTATGATGGTGGACATTATATGTCGTGCTTCATACTGGTTTAGACGTACTGTTAATATATTTGAAATTTTTTTTCAAGACGTAACTTCAACCTTTGGTCTATTTTAAGACTGTTTCCTCTTCCTACTATAGGTCATTGCTTTTTTTTTTTCCTATCAGAGAGCTTTTTGTCTGTTTAAGGTAAAGAATTGTTTACTTTAAAGCTTCCCTGTTCCAGCTAAAATGAGTGGAAAGAGAGTAGGGAAAAATTAAACCTGATATTTAGCTGTCATGTGTATTGATCTGTATCTTTCCTAGGGATTCCTTGTGGAAAATGCCAAACCGGAAGTTTGCCGATGGTGAGGTGGTGATGGGCCGCTGGCCGGGAAGCGTCCTGTACTATGAAGTACAAGTCACTAGTTATGATGATGCATCTCATCTTTATACTGTTAAGTACAAAGATGGGACTGAACTTGCATTGAAAGAAAGTGATATAAGGGTGAGTACACATTTATGTCATCAGTATTTCTAATGGAAGATTATATTGATGTTGAGAGGTAGATAAAAATGTGACTTATAACTGGATAGTTGCTTTGCAAGTTTTCATTAGCTATTTTCAGGAATTGGTGCTAAATAATAGCTCTTTCCTATGTGATGTCTCAAGTAGAAGTTCAGAATGCTGACTCTACTTTTAAAGAAGTGTGTTTGTTTCATTTGTGCGAAAAAAACAGTGACACATTTAGTGAAAAAAGTCTGATCATTCAGGAACTATAGCATAATTGTTCATGAAAAATTGTTTTCGGGTAGCTTATAAAGCTAGTAATCAGGGGCTCAATGCAAATTTGACTTTTTTCCCCCTTCTAAATAAGAGAATTTGAAAACAAATGCAAGTCTGTAATTCAAGATCACTGTAAATATAAATAGAGCATACCCTTTAAGGACATACCTAAAATACCTGTGAATAGCTTGTACTGGCTTAGATCCCCAAAGGTTTCATAAGGTACTTTGCTCTATTTGTGACAGTTAGGGGCTTTTGAAAAAGAGTCATGATGTATATAAGCATATCCCTTCCTCTTTACATTTATTATTTCAGTTTCTATTCCTAATAAAGGCCTTCAAAACTCTGCATACAGATTTTATTTCAGTTTAAAATGTAATAGTGCATGAGTTAATTTATTATTCTGGAATTCAAAAAGCTATTTGAATGTTTGCTGTAGTTGATTTTTGAGGCCTGTTCTGAAACCTGCTTAAGTTCAAAGCTTACTTGTGTCTTTATGTGAACTGTAGTTTCACTTTTTGGTGGCAAATTACATGCCCTGTAGCCGACCTTTCTGGGGGGAACAAAATGTTTCTACCTTGAGGAACTGTTTTCACTACTTTAAGACTTTCTAACTTGTTTACTTCATGGCTGCAGGTTAACAAACACAAGCTGAGAAAATACTTTTCTTTGTCATAAAGCATTTGTGCCCTTTAGAAGTTTTGGATATTTTATGGGGGAAATTTAACATTGTAGACTTCACAGAGAAATGAAATGGAAAATGTTTTGGGAAGACTGTATGAAATTAAGTTATCACATCTAATTTAATGTTTTGGGTGATGTGGGCTTTTTTAATGTTGATTTGAGCTGTGTTGCCTTAAACAGATCATTGTATCTTGATATGCCAACTATATTAGTAAAGCTGAGTAACTGAAATAATAGCCATCTCTTAAGGCCTCAGAGATGGCTATTGGCCAATTCATTTGCTTATGCAAAGGTAGTATGCTTAAGAACTTGGTGCACACATTGATAGCTTTGCACCCATGTCGTTATTTCTGCAGCTTTGCATGGGATTTGTCAGCAGTTAGACTTGGGATGGGATGATTTTGCCAGCAGAATGACTATGCTGGAGTTGCTCGTAAGGTCTTAACAGACTTTGGACAACAGCAGTAAAGGAAATAGTTCTGTAGAATGATATGCTAGAGTCCTCATAGCAAAAAAAACCCACCCAAGTTTCTGAAATTGTTCTTTGGAATATCTGTGGTAAGATTTCACTTTCTTCCCCTCTTTCATGCAGTCACAATCATCGTTCAAGCACAGGAAGAGCCAGTCCTCTTCAAGTTCTCCTTCCAGAAAAAGTGCTAGCAGATCTCGATCTAGATCTCCTGGTCGGCCAGCAAAAGGCAGACGTCGATCTTCTTCCCAAAGCAGAGAACATAAAGAGGACAAAAAGAAAATCATTCAGGAAACCAACTTAGCTCTACTGGTATTAGTTTTTGTTTGTTCTTTGCGGGGGGGCTTTTTGAATTTTTTTTTAAGCAAATTTTTGCTACTTGCAAAAGATCTATTTTATGCATACTGGATTTATTACTCTAGAAGTCAGCTGTAGTTCATGTTCCCTGCATAACATAATGAGCTGCAGAAGTGTATCTCGGAACTGCCTTTTTTCCTTGGAAATCAAGCTTTCTAGCCTGTCGTGTTGTAAGGAAATTCTAGAAATATAAATGCATGTTGCTAAGTTCCAGTTACATTTGGTGGTACAGTGAAGTTCTCAGAGTTCAAACAAATTCTTCAGTGTTTTAATGCTGAAGTTATTGTTAGCCATGTGCTCCTGCTTGTGAAATGGGACAAACGAAGTTAGCCTACTTTTAAGATGTATTGATCAATACATAGCAGGTAGGTGTTAGAATTTGAAATAAAATGAGTTCTTTTTTCATACATGGTTCACTAAAATAGTGATGGAACACATGAGGCTCCTGTGGGAGAATTACTGCAGAATTCAAGTGTGGAATATATGTTTGCAGCCTTGAAGATTGGTAAGGGCAGGCCCAGGGCTCAGTTTTGGGGCCAGTCTTTTATAATAGCTTTATCAGTGATCTGGATGAGGAGATCAAATGCATCCTCAGTAAGTTTGCAGATGACACAAAATTAAGCAGGCATGTTGATCCGCTTGAGGGTCGGGGGGATCTGGAGAGGGACCTGGACAGGTTGGATCAATGGGATGAGGTCAGTTGCATGAGGTTTAACAAGGCCAAGTGCCAGGTCCTGCACTTTGGTCACAGCAACATCAGGCTACATTACAGGCTTGGGTTAGAGTGGCTGGAAAGCTGCCTGGCAGAGAAAGACCTGGGAGTGCTGATGGACAGCCAGCTGAACATGGGTCAACAGTGTGCCCAGGTGGCCAAGAAGGCCAACAGCATTCTGGCCTGCATCAAAAATAGTGTGTCCAGCAGGAGTAGGGAAGTGATTGTGCCCCTGTACTCAGCACTACTGAGGCCACAGCTTGAGTACTGGGTTCAGTTTTGGGCACCACAGTATACGACAGACATTGAGGTGCTGGAGCAGGCCCAGAGAGGGACAGTGAAGCTGCTGAAGGGTCTGGGGAACATGGCTTATGAGGAGTGGCTGAGGGAGCTGGGATTGTTCAGCCTGGAGAAGAGGAAGCTGAGGGGAGACCTTGTTGCTCTGTACAGCTCCCTGAAAGGAGTTTGGAGTGAGGTGGGGGTTGGCCTCTCAAGTAACTAGCCATAGGACAAGAGGAAATGGGCTTAAGTTGTACCTGGGGAGGTTTTGATTGGACATTAGGAAGAATTTCTTTCCTGCAAGAGTGGTGAGGCATTGGACCAGGCTGCCCAGGGAGGTGGTGGAGTCACCATCCCTGGAGGGGTTCAAAAGATTCATAGACATGGCACTTTGGGACATGGTTTAGTGGTCATGGTAGTGGGTTGATGGTTGGACTTGATGATCTTAGAGGTGTTTTCCAACTTCAATGATTCTATGATTCTATAATATTGCAGAACTGTTTTCATTATAAAAACTATCCTGTGAGGATTTGTAAGTTTATCAAAGGTCTGTGTTTTAGCTGGAATGTATTGTGTTTGTTCTTGACCTTTTTCTGAACATTAAGTTGAATACTAAAAATTATTCTGGTGTTCTGTAAGTGAAGCATAATAGAAGTGATGTTCCTTTATTAAGAGAGAAATAGCATTTCTTATGCCTCCTGTGCCTCTGAGATGGCTTCAAGCGATACTTGCCTGAGAGACAGTCCTTTGAACAGGAAATGCCTTCTGTTGATCTATTGAAAATAGATAGGTTTTAGTTAATTTTCAACTAAACTAAACTGAATAAGTAGGTTTGGTTTAGTAAACTGCTACTACTAAAGGTGTTCTTTGGCACTGAAATTGCTGTGCTTTTTGTTTTGCAGTGAAAGACTTTGAGCTGTGTGACCCAGTGCATAGCCTGTGCACCATATGCTTGTTTTAAGTAGTTTGTAGCCAGCCACACCACTTTACTTTGGATGAAAAGGTTAAAATACATTTAGGTTTTTCTCCTGGCTTCTCAGTGAGCAGTAGGATTGATCTGTTGGTTGTTATACAACTGGAATGACCTGGTCCTTTTCAACAAAGCTTAAGTTGAAATAAAACAGGTGAATCCCGTCTTCCCAGAACTGTGCAAGCTAGACTCAGTAAAGGAATTTTGGTACAGGAATTTACTTCTTAGAAAGCTCTTTAATAGAAAACCAAATTTTCAGTCCTGCAGAACAGTATTATATATATTGAATGCTGAAATTTCCTCTACTTTCCTAATAGAATTTCTTAATAGACATGTATGTTTGACTTGAGAGTTCCTAATGATGAGTTAAAAATAACTTGGAAGCTATGTTCTTAATTTCACTGTCAATAATAAAAAATCTATAACCTTTTCTTAAATGAGTGTTCCTCTCTTGTTTGTGAGCTGAAACTGTCTGTACGTTGAATATTGAACCACCTTGTTTTCTTGTGGAGAAAACCAGAACAGTTGCAGTTGCAAAAAACCCTGGATAGTTAGTGTTCTTCGTTATTAATGATATACTTACACTTAATGCAACTGTTACTTTCAGAAATCTAAACCTATGGGTTTTATTTTCACCAGAAACCCAGTGAGAATAATACCAGAAGGTACAATGGTGAACCTGAGAGTACAGAAAAAAATGACACATCCTGTGTAATCTTGGAGGTATGAACATTGAATTTACTCTTAGTGTTATGTCATTTTATTCTAACTTGGCTTTCTCTGAAATACCTAGAAGATGCCAATACAGTTGTCAAGGAGAAATAGAATGCAATGTAAAACTTAGAGGCCAAACAAGTTCATAACTAAGTTCAGGGGAGAGAGAGATGGAGTTGTTAGAAGTGAAGAGTACTAGAGCTGCATAACATTCATTTTTCTTTGTGTGTTTTTTTTTTTTTCTATCAGACCCTCATTTGTTACTTGGGTTTGTTCTTACGCTTTTACAGTGGGAATGTTTGGCCATAATAAAAAGTGGTGGTTCTTTTTTTTCCAGATCAGTTCTTTAGTCCTACTTGTTAGCTAATGCACAGAGTTATGGTAGAAGGGAAAGGACAGGGGTGGGAATGGATGACATGTACTGAACTGCTGCTGGTACGTAATCATGGTCTGAGTGACCACAGTGGAACTGAATTTAGCAGTCTTATAAATGCACAAACTCAAGTAGTCTATAGAAGTAGAATACATTGTATATTGGTGTTTTATAGTGACTAATATCCTTCCCAATGTGGAATATTGGAGTAAAATAAGGTAAAAACACTACAATTTTTTTTTTCTTTTTAGTAAATTCTTGTTATTCGTTAACAGCAAAAGTTGAAACCAGACCTGGAAACAGAGCGTGTGCTTGAACACTACGGCTTGCGTCCAAGAAGAGAAGAAAAGAAAAAGGAAGAGATATATTCAGAGAATAAGATTTTTGAGACCATAAAAACAATTGAGAAACCATCATCAAAAACAAAGGAGCTAGAGTTTGGTGGAAGAATTGGTATGTGTGTAAATTGCCTTAATAGTTGAAAATCAGTACTTTTATGTTTTTTATTTATTGACCATAATGGCATATCAAGAACTATTTTCTCAATTTTTGGACCCTGGTTGCAGAATCCAGAGAGATGACAGTGCTTCATGTAGTCTATAGTGGTACTGGTGGCAGTCAAAGAACTGTTACTACGCTTGATTCTCCTGTGAAATCCAGTGAAGATCATGAGTCTTCCCTTGCGCAGTGAGATTTAAGTAGTTCCAGATTAAATTTAAGAAGTAACTACCAAATTTTCTGTTTTCAAAACCTAGGTGCTTTGAACTCAACAGTAAATATTCTTTATAATTTAGTTAGGACACTTTTAAAAGGATGCAATGGGTGTGGTCCTTCAGTTTGGTTACATGACCCCCTGTGGGAGTGAGAAGAATGTCTCTCTCCTGTTACATAAGTGGGGGACTGCTGCTGCTTGCTTCAGGAGCAGATAGTAACAAAGAAGAGGTTGTCATTAAAGTTAATATTGAGCTTTATTACTGGGATCAAAAGCAGGTGTTTGTTTTGTTTTGGAGTTTTATTTCTCTGTGTTTACCTTCTACTATGGCCTGATGTCTGTTTACAGGCACCTTCATGATGATATTTTTCCTGCCTGCTACTGTATTCTACCTGCTGTTGATGTGCAAACAAGATGACCCAAGTCTTATGAACTTCCCTCCTCCTCTCCCAGCGCTGGAAAGTCTTTGGGAGGCTAGGGTGTTTGGTGTTTTTCTTCTGTGGTTTTTCCTTCAAGCTCTATTGTATTTACTGCCAATTGGAAAGGTAAGCTCTCCAGCAGCAATTGGGTCTTTATGGATAATCTGTTAGGGTGAAGGTAGGGTGTGTTCTTAATGCAGTGAATTTGAAAGCAGATGAATTATTTTTTTGTATTAAGCTGGAATGTGGCTACTGCAGATTTCTGTAAGCTTAAAGTATCACAGTCCGTTAAGAATTTAATGGTTGTGCATTTCATAGTCTTAGAGTAGAAGAGGGGGGAGGCATCATATAGGCGCTCAAAGCAAGGGTAAAATTTGTTTGGTACACTTCTAGAAGAATTTCAGGTGTCTGACTTAAACTGACAACTGTTTGATACTTGGTTTCTTATTGATGTGCAGTGTTCTGGAATGTAATCTTCACTTACAGGGTGCTATAAACCTTTCTAGCCATATGGATATTAGGCAGATGCTCTTTTTCTCTCTTCTTGTGATTTGAGGGATACTGATGCATTCTGGAAGAACACTCTTAAGATCATTCAGTTGTGTTGTTTTGTTGCTATACAGTTTACAAATGATTGGAGTAGTTCTGTTTTCTTGAGGATGGTTATGAATTTTTTTTTTTATGTTATTATTTGAAACTTGCCCTTTGTCTTTTGATATCCAAATAATGCTTCTGAGAGCAATGCATGATACTCAGATTTGTATTTGTCCAGCTGATTACTTTGATTGAATGTCTTCATGGCAGGGATGCACTTGATTTCTCTCTCCTGCTAGTGTCCCCAGAAAGTACTTTGTTGAAAACACTGAGATTTTTTTCTTCCTAGGTTGTAGAAGGCCTGCCTCTTTCAAGTGGAAGGAAACTGCAGTACCGGATCAATGGTAAGCATGCTGCAGTTGCTTGTTCTGAATTTGATACCACTGCCTGGTTTGCAGTGCTCTCAGTACTGTAAGACACAAGTGGTGAAAGATACACTCTGTGGTCAAACAAGGTATCTGTTACAGATCTTCCATAAGATAGGATGAACGTTTTCGTGGAAGAAGTTGACTAATGATCAGGAACTGCTCCAAGAGCAAGTCATTACACTATACAAGGCACCCAGTCTCCATCCAGTTGTGACGGGTGGTTCCTGTTGTAGTCCTTGCATAATTGCTAACCAGGCAGTTTCCTACTGGAAGTGTTAGTAATGCTCGTGTAACAGAGATTGTTGATGTGGAGGAGATGCTCAGGAGTGATCTGAACAGATCTTACTCCATATGTCCAGATCATCTTGTATGTCTGATTTATAGACCAGTAAGGAGTGTGTTGTAATTGCTTTAAGATGTTCATATTCTTGCCAGGTAAAGAACAGTTCTGAGTCCTTATTTGGATCTGATTTCACTTCTTACAAAATAAGGCAAGTTTCCGGTCTAGGTTTAGAGTATGGTTTAACATATTTCAGCAATCCTGCTTTTTCAGGCTTAAATAGGTAAGTGTACTTTGATGGCTTGAAGATATTCTAGACTACCCATTTGATTAATCAGTCAGTTTGAGGACACTGTCTGGTGGTAGTGGAATCCAAATTTTATGTTAAAAAGTTAAGTGGGGTTTTGTCATAATCCGGTAAGATTCACCATTTTAAAATCAGAATAGAAAAATCATAGAAACAGGGTGAATTACGTTGTGCAGAAACGAGTCACACTGAGGCTGCCTCAAAACTTTTTTGGGTTTGGATTTCTGTCTTTAGTAGGGGCTTAATCCTGAAATTTTTTTCTGTATTTCGATAAAGGGAGGAAATAAGCTACATAATTTGCATGGTTTAAAAAAGAAAAAAAAAGCGCTATCTTCTTGCTGCTTCAAAGGCTAATTCTCAAAGCAGCTTTGAAAGCCTTCTTCAGAAAAGGAAGACCACCACAGGACAAGAGGAATGAGCACAAACTGAAATACAGAAGATTCCATCTGAACATCAGAAACACTTTTTTATTTATTTACTGTGAGAGTGACTGAGCACTGGCACATGTTGCCCAGAGAACTTGTGGAGTCTTAGCATTGGAGATACTCCAAAGCTGTGTGGGCAACCAGCTCTAGGTGTGCCTGCTTGAGAAGGGGGGTTGGACTGGGTGAGCTCTGGAGGTCCCTTCAACCATTGTGACACTGTGAAAAGGGTTTGTAGAAGGTACTTAGGTGAGAGCTGTGTAGAGTTGCCTGCTTCTAATTGGACGTCATTCCATTCTACATGGTTTTGTACTCTCAAAAGTACAAAAATTTTGTGTTCAAGTTTTGTCTTGATCTTGTAATGCTTCACTGGTATCTGTATGGAGGTATATATGAAGGCAATGGTATTTTCTTCTTTGACTTAACTGAGCTATCCGACAGATAAGATTTTGTAGCTTGCTATCATTAGCCAGTAATAGCGTCAATGTCCATTTTCCCACTAAAGTCTGAAATTGGGTGATACGTTGTAAAA